AGAGAGAGAGAGAGAGAGAGAGAAGAAGAGAGAGAGAGAGAGAGAGAGAGAGAGAGAGAGAGAGAGAGGAGAGAAAAAATAATATTAAAAAGGGGAGGGGAGATATTAAATAATCGGAAAGAAAGAGAGAGAAAATGAAAAAGAATAAAGAAATAGAGAAGATTGACACTATTCGGTACGGTATGACACCAAACGGTACAAGAAATATGAAACCGGTGTCGTGTCAAACAAAAACGGTATGATATGGTATCATACCGTTTACACTACAACATTGAACAACACAATATGAGATTGGCAAGGTTTGACAGGACTGTCCCCGAATTCCTCGGAATCCAAGACGAATCCTGTGATATTTCCAACATCATACCAATGCCGGGCACACTTACTAAAAAGGGACGAGACTTTCTGCCGAAATTTCGGCAAAGTCTCCCTTGAAAAATGAATATTTCCCAAAATTTTCAACTTGTTAAAAACACATTTATAAATCTCATCTGGCAGCATGCACAAAATAATAACATGCAATTTACATAATAGGCCTTCGGCCTTACAATCAACCATAACACGGGCAATAACATAGCATATATAACAGAATTCAGTTTACAACGAAACGAAGTTCGGCATAAATAAAAATAGATGAAATTTTTCCCTACACAAGCTCGGGCTCGGAGTTCACGACTTGATACGACCACTCGATTCAAGACTATATATTGTCGGGGGCGCAAAACAGAAAACGTGTGCAAAAACAAAGTTTGTTATCTTTGAAAACAACATATAATAACCCTACCGTTTAGAAAACGATGTAGAAAGCAATATGCATTCAAACCGATGTAGCCATATATGTATATATAGTTAGGGCAAAACCATAGTGAAATCCGTAATCTCATAATAGTATACCATCACCAATCCCATTCCAAAACCTTTCCCAACTAATCTCTCGAAACGCGTGCCTATTGGCACAACAAGTGAGGAAGTATCCTCACCAACAAATAAGAATAATGAAAGGATAGGTATATATATATATACTAAACTTGTACTGGGGAAACAATCCAACTAGGGGATTGTTTGACTAGTCCACATGGAAGAATCCTCAATTGACCATGTGGCTAGGGAACGAGCCGTCCAACTGGGGATTGGGCTCACTAGCATGTACAGTAGAATCCTCAATACTCGTATGCTTGTGACAAGTCCTACGAGCGCAGACTAACCCCGCTAAGGGGCTACAAAACACCCCGTCAAGGGTGCCCGAGTTCCAACATATCTAAGTATCCGAAGAGTTTCCATATATCCAATTCATAACTTCCAAATCCCGAGAGGTACATAGGGTAGTGCTAATAGCACTCAAAACTGACTAAAACCACAACCCAATCCACATTTCATAAACTCTTTCTAACAACCCCATATACCCAACACATATCCAAGAATAAATATTCATTCCAAAATAATCACAATCCGCAATTATTCTAATATACTTCATTTACTTTCATAAAAATATTGCATTCAGCATTTAAATAACTAATAACTCAATAATCAAGAAATCATTATGCATATTTTTCCCATCCTTGTAAATAATGATTATAGTTTAAAAACAAAGTCCACTAACAGATAGTCCCACGCTGCTTGATCCTGAGAGGGTCCCGCCTGCTGCGTACGCTAGGTCAGAGTACCTATTTAAAGACACGAGAACTAGATTAAAATAAAGCGCTTCGAATGAGAACTTTAAGATAAATTCCTAATTTTTCCGGGATTTAAGTGTGTGTACGACGAACGAGAAGTTCCTAAGGTCCAACTACGTGTTCTGAATGGTGGAATAACCTCGGAAGACGCTCGGTCAATCAAGAGGTCAAACATTCCAAATTTGGTCAACCGGGCTGTGGGGCCCACGACCTTCGATTTCCGATCCGAAAGTTCCTATGGGTTCAATTAGGTTTATTATACATGTCCTGAAAGTTTGGTCTGAATCGAACATTCAGATCACTAGCGATCGCACGATCGGACAGTTATCGCTTAAAGCAAACTTTGAATCATTGAATCGAAGCATCCGAGACTTCGATTCTTGATCTGCGAATTTCTACACGATCCTAGAGGTTTCTAGATCAACATATTTGAAAATGGAGTTGATCCAACAGTCCGAACATATCGAACCCGGATATATGTGTAAATCCAATCGACTGTCAAACGATAATCAAATTCAAATCCGAGCATACAGTCGTGCTCGGGACGACATGAGGATCATTTTAGGACCAAAACAAGGCCCACGCGCCTGCAGTGCGTAGGTGTCTTGAGAAATTTCGGCGATAGGAAAATTCTTGAAACACCCATCAATACCTATACCATGATTAGGACAACGAGTGGAGCAACTTTTGTTCTTGGACCATGGCCAAAAAGTGACTGGAACTTGCCGGAATTTCAAGCCTAAATTGGCCAAAACTTTAAGTTATAAATCAGGTTTCAAAACTCAAAAATTGATCCTAATCAACCCAACCATCAGCTAGAACATGTTGAGAGGATGGTAAAGCATACCTAGATCGACAAATTTGGTGGCCGGAATCGTCGAAACGAACATCAGAAAGTTTACATAAAATTCGGCCTATTTTCTGTGTTTTTCAGCGATGGTGATGGCGGGTTTCGTCCGAGGTGGGGTAGGTCGGGAAGAGGAAGGTGCGCTGGTTCTTTTGGTATCGGCCCCGTTAGATTTGGTGGTTGGCCAAAATGTGGCCGGCTGTTACAAAGGGGGGGATGTTGTCGCACGAAGAGGAAAATATCAGGGGAGAGAGAGAGAGAGAGAGAGAGAGAGAGAGAAATCTGATTTTTAAAAACCAACTTCAAAATATTTACAATTGTGCCACTGCACTTCTGTTAATCGTAACTTCTTCGTTACAACTCCGATTTGAGCCCACTACGTGTCTACAAACTCGTATCGAAGCGATCTACGTCATGGTACCATTCAATTCCCCAAAATCCTACCAGATTAAAAAGTGACCAAAATAACCCTATCCCCGAGGGCAAAATTGTAATCTCATAATTAAATAATTTAAATGGACAATAAAAATAGGGTCGGGGTTTCACACGGTTTGGCACGGTTTCGGTTTGGTTTCAGTTTTCTAGTTTTGATGTCCAGCCCTAATATAGACTGATGTGGCATGTTGCCTATTCAATTGCCTTTTGGAAAAAAAACTACTTACTCCAATGGACTAGGCAAATAAACTAGGCAATACAATATTATATTATTTATTTTAATCTTTTACATTTACCTCATTTTGCCCACCACAAAAAAGCAAAAGAAAATTGTATTTTATAATAATCAAAATATGTGGGGCCCAATATACCTCTTCACTTTGAAGTAGGCAATATTGCCTTGTGAGCATCTCCAAGGGAGTATGCAAATGAAATAGGCAAAATTGTACTATAACAACGTAGTTGGCATATTGCCTACCCATTTGCCTCATGAAAAAAGTTGGTCACTCCAAGGGACTAGCTAGGCAATGCAAGTCTACAAACCATTATTATATTATTTTTATCTTTTACACTTACAATTATATTTTATAGAAAGTGGATGAGAGAGAGGAGATAATATATTATTATAAAATGCAAGTGAGGGCCAATATACCTCTTCACTTTGAAGTAGGCAAAATTGCCTTGTTGGGGAGAGTATGTATATTTTGCCTACCCATTTGCCTCTTCCCCTGGAGCATGAAAATGCTGATGTGTTAAGGCAAATGAGGTTTGCCTACTCTTTTGCCTCTTCTCTTAGAGATGCTGAAGAGTAGGTATATTTTGCCTACCCATTTTCCTCTTCCGTTGAAGCATGAAAATGCTTATGGACAACGAATTTAAAATTGGGTCCGGAAAAATCAACACGGTGGATGATTATAAAGTTGCAAAGTTTCAAGTACATTTTCACCTTTATTTATGAACCAAGGCCATAATTATTACAGCATAGACCTACAATTCCCTACATCATGAATGACACTTTTACAACTAAAGGAATTCTTGAAAATTATTGAATCCCAGAGTCCAGCTCTCTCTCCATATCTCAACTACTAAGAGCATGTCCAGCATAGTTGTTATACTCTGATCCTTACCAATTTTGGTGAGAATGAGGGCAAAACGTAGCTTCAGCAGACTTGCTATCTAACTCTTCATTTTGGAGAACTCACTATTTGAGTTTGGTGACTCTCTACATTTAGAGATGATGAGAGAGAAATTGATGGTTCTCCATTTCTTCCTCTTCTCTCTCCCTAGGCCCACACCCTCTCTCACCTCTTACTTTTTGATTTTGTAATGAACTTTTAATTTTAGTTACTAAAATATTTAAATTTTAAGAAATAATAAAATATTAGAAATTAGCCAAAATAGAGAACATTGCTGGAGGCAATATTTTTAAGTAGTTTGCTATAATAGCTTTTTAGCCATTTTAGCTAAAATTTGGCTAAAATTTAGAGACTCTCCTGGAGATGCTATAAGGGCAAAGCCCAATGGTAGTGCCTAAATGGGACTCCAAAAATGGTGGATGAAGACCCATTTAAAGCTCCGATTGAATATTCCGGGCCCTAAAATTATCTTCTCCACAATGGAGAGCTTTATACTCGAGGCTCTATTTATGATGTAATTTAGTTTATGTGCTAATTTTTTTCATTGTTAACTTATTTTGTGTTAATGCATGTTTATATTATGTTAGTTATTTTTTTCTGAACATTTCAACCAAAATAAAATAAAATTTGGACTAGACTTTGAAAACAACATTTTTTTTTTTGGTTAATGTATGCTTATGTTATGTTAAATTTTTTTAATGATTATGATCATTTTTTTGTTGTTGCTAATGTATGTTTATAACTTGCCCAAAAGTGTAATGATGTTAGTGACTTTTGCGTCAGCTTTTGGCAACAGCTGGGGTTCACTCGGCTTATAAGGTGGGTGGAAATAGCATCACTCTTTTTGAACTCAATCTTTCTTTTTGGAGGCTCGGTAGTCTTTTTGAACTAACTCTAGAAGGCCATTTTCTCAATCTTACTTCTAAGTTGCTTGTGTTTGACCTTCATTCCAACCAGTTTCAAGGACGAATCACAATTCTCCAATCATTTGCATTTTACATATATGACTCCAAAAAATAATTTCAGCTTTAACATACAACTTGTCATCGGTGCTTACTCACACTAGGTTCTTCTCTCTTTCAAGTAATAAGTTTCACGGGATCATTTCGGGATCACTGTGCAATGCAACGTCTCTTTACCTAACCCTAAACCTTTGAAACCCAAGCTTGATCAGTTGTGGAATACTTTTCTTGTTGGAAGATAGGGATCAACATTTGACCCGCAACTCATGGGCTCAAGTGGGTCAGCCCAGGTCTAATCGCCCCTGCTCGCTCTAAGATTGGGTAGGGGTTGGGCCAAGGATTTGAAATCTTAGGTTGGCTCGTGGCCTAGCCCGTCTAAGCCGGGCCTGGTCCGCCGTTGATATAGTGATACACTTACTAACCTCATTTTAGACTTAATTGAAATAATGTAATATGTAGCATGAATTAATAAACTTCTTATTTTAGTTTACACATCTTATGAATTAAGTTAATTTTATAAACATTGTGTAAAATTTGGGACAAAATGTTATAAAAGACTTTGAAAAAAAGGCTCGGCCCGTTTAGGCCAATGTTCGGGGGGGCCTGAGCTCATACATTTTTTAATGTCCCAAAACTTATGGAGCCATTCCAATGCTTCAAATTATTGACCTTGCAGACAACCATTTTAGTGAGAAATACCAGAAGATTGCTTGACAACATGACTAATAATTATGGTTGATGGAGATTAAAGGTGTTAAACAAGCCATGTCGGGCTGGCCCAACTTGTTTAGTGTTGGTCCACTTAATAATCGGCCCGAGCCCGTGGCCCTAGCCCATATAGGACCTAGTTCTGCTTGTGTCGGGCCACTCAATGGGCCGATATGGGCCGACACCAAGCTCAACTTCTATATTGAATTTTTTGCAATTTTTTTTTTTAACAATTTCATTTCAATCTTTTGACAATTATGTATATACTAACAAGATTTGGTATTTTTTGGAAAAAAAAAGAAAAAAAAAAAGAAGACAATGGCTCTTTCTGAAGTACATTTAAATAGAAAAGGGCTAGACTATTGTTCGAGTTTAAAGAATTGAAACTTGAGGAACAAAATCATTATTTTATTTATAAAGAAAGCATTCATTTTAAAATCTATTATTAGAGAAAATATACTTAAATTTAAGATATAAGTATAATAAAATTATGTATTAATTTTCTTTAAAAGCAAATTTATTTTAATAAATGGGCTCTATACTGGTTGGCACGGTCCATAACGAGCTGGGGTCGAATTACCACATCTTGGTCTGCCCAAAGATATGGGTCTGACTGTGTCAGGCCTTACCTAATCAGGGCCAGACTCATACCGTTCTTGGGTCAGCCTAAGATGTTTGACACCTCTAATGGAGATGATCCAACTTTAGTGCTCAACCACGTCCCTCAATTTCAGGTAATAAGGTTCCCCAATGTTTACTATTAAGATGTGGTAGCTGTTACCAACAAAGATCTAGAAATGGAACTAGTAAAGATTCTAACTATCTACACCTCAGTTGACTTCTCGTGCAACATCTTCAATGTATCGATTCCTAAGGAAATTAGAGAGCTAAAAGCACTTTATATCCTTAACTTGTTCAGTAATACTTTCATATGTGAAATTCCATCCTCATTGAGATGTCACTCAAAACTCAATCCAGATTGTAGCCTTAAACCTCAACATATATGGCGACTTTTATCTGCTGTTTTATTGACTTCAAAATTGAGATATAAAAAAATTCCTATCAGAGTAAGTCAGATAAAAGATCAAATTCAATAGTCAGATAAAAAAATTCCTATCAAATTGCAGCCTTAAATTCAATGTTTCCAGTAGCTTCTTTTGTGGGTAATGAAGGTTATTCCTAACATTAGAAAGATCATTCCCATTATAGGCCTGAGATTGATTTCGATCTTATAAGTGTTGATGAGGATACATTGAAATGGTGGCTCCATTATGTTTAACTTAAAATGGGCGGCATCAAGGATTGGAATGGACCCGACCCAAAATATTTGAGTTCGGGCTGGCTCAGGTCGAGTCTTATGGGATTTTTTGAATTTTAGGGGTTGGCCAGGCTAGGTCAAGGTTTCAAATGTCAAGGCCGGGGCCCATCCAATGGGTTGGGTCACGGGGCGGCTCAATGTTTCAAACGAGCCAGGACACATGGCGGCCCTGGACATAACCAAATAGGTCGGGCCACGGGGCTGCCCAATGTTTCAAACCCTTGGCCTAAACCCTACCCAATCTTAGAGTGGACTGTGCAGAGTGGGCTTAAAAGAATGAGACATGTTGGGCTTCGGCCCATAAGGCCTCGGGCTAACCACTTCGGCCCATGAGCCGCGGACTAAATGGTGATCCCCAAGCTTTCCACTTATTTTATTTTGGAATTCTTGAATGGCCTATGATGGACCATAAATGAGCTTTCCTAATTTAAATTTACAAACCAAACATGAAAATGACCTTCAAATGGAATCATTCCATTCTATTCCACCCCACTCATTCCCTTAAAGCAAGAATCGCATCAACTACCCCCTCCTAGTTGATCCGATTCCTAATTTTAAGTGAGACATGTGTATTAAGTGATTCTTTATGTGTAAGTAAACGTAGGAGAAGTCGT